AAATGAATTTATACAAAAAAAATGTAAGTGATGTGCGTTCTGATTTAATTAATTTTGTAGTTGATTATTTACAAATCAAACAACCAAGAGAAGATTACAGATAGTTGTTAGAATTAACGATTATTTTCCTTAGAGGAGTGCCCCCTCGAGGAATTTCTTTAAGAGTACCCGGAGTCATCCATCATACCAGGTGGGTGGCAAAAGCTATATATTGTTTGAAAATATTTTTATTCCGAAGTCAATTTTGTTTAACACAGAAAGAAGAAATATCTATTGCCAGTGTATGTGTCTTCATTATTCGACTATACATAAAAACCTGGTTTGTATCACCTATGGCTTCGAGTGCACCTTACCAAGATATACATTTTTTTAAAGATTTAATAAGATATCAGTCGATTGATAAAAGTATATCTGAAGTCACGATGAAAAAAATGTAAAGCCATTTATGGTATCTATCACTCGAGGCAGCTGCGTTATCATTTTTCGATTCACACGTACTAGTATTTACTACAGACTTCTATACTACACTAGATAAGTAACTACTATATAATTTACATGGCTATGAGTGAAGCTGATAAGGTGAACAACTGCCATTTTGTCGGTTGGCAACAAAATCTATTATTCTATATGCAGCAAATACTTATTTTCTTGATATTTCTTTATTAAATCAGATTTAAATAATGTGAAAATTTAAGGATTAAACCAAATATAATTAAGAAAAAAGAAAACAATGTTAATCACAAATATATACATATTAGTTTATTATTAAAACATACACAGTATACAATCACATATTACTAAATAATACTAATTTGGTTAATTGTCGCCGTTTACTAACAATAGAAGACGTTTTTGATTTGGCAACATGATGTAGACGTATTTTTAAATATTCCTTACAGATTAATGTTACTAAATCTAATCTATGATTTTCTAAAAATGAATGATCGGAACATGTCATATTTTGTAAGATATTGAAATTATAATCATAATTTTTGGTTGAAATTATTATTTTTGCAGATAAACCAGATATATGAGAAGTAAAATTGTTAGTTATTTGATTAAAGAATTTCCAATATATTTAATTAATTTCATAACATTTTTTTGAACTCTTTAATAATCCACCTCCATTTTTCACATCAGTCAATACAGAATAGACATGTTTATGACTATAGTTATGTTCACTTGATTATTCTATAAGATTGTCTACACATGTTGAACAATCAATTATTTTAAGTAACTTTCTAACAATAAAACCAGTAATATAATAAAGAATATTATCCTTAATAATTCTGGATTGGTCAGTCTCACCTATCAAAAAATCTGAGAGATTTGATTCTTCTTCATATTCAATGTTTAATAAATCATCAGAATTTCTTTTTGACCAGCGTATTTCAAATATACTTTCAACACTACTGTTGTGCATTTCAATACAGTTAGCAGCGTAAGATGAAGAGATGGAATTTTTAAAAAACAACTATTTCATAGATGATTTAAATTCTATTACATTAGGGTTATTATTATTATCAAAACGCTGACGAATTTTAGAGAAAAATATCTCTAAATGGTCCTGAGAAAATTTATAGCTTAAAAGGTATTTGTACGAGTGAAAAACAATTTTCTATTAAATAATAAATAATCAATTGTAAAAGAATATTCAATATAATGCTGCACAGGACTAAATGTAACGTTCAATGTTTTGCCAACCGACAAAATGGCGGAAACTGATAAGCCAAGCTTCAGTAAATATCGACAGTACCTTATCTAGTTAGTATAGAAGTCTATGGTATTTACAAAAATAAAAATGATAGCAACTCTTAAAACTGATACAGAAGAAGATAATAATATAAGCTGATAGGTCTTGAATCCAAAAGAGTCTATTCAATAGACTCTATTGGGATATTAAATAAAGGCCTTGAAGATTTTATTTGTGTGAGATCAATGAAGTTCTTTGAACGTTTCAAAATAAATACAGATTTTCTTACGACTGATCCATCAAAGTGGGACGGTGATGAAAATTTTAATAAATCTACTGCCATTGTCAACAACATAAACGTAGTCAATGATATAGCTGAAAGAGGAGTTAAACTTATAAAAGAATACAATACAAAAATTACCAATGATGAAATTCAAAAACAATATTTGCTCCAAGTTGTGTGCGACTATTGCAATAAATATCCAAACTCCAAAAAGAGTACCGTTTTAGATAAAGAGTTATAAAAAAATTGAATCTGAATATAAACATCAATAAAATTATACTTTTTTTTTTTTAAATATTAAACGTTTATTTACATTATTTCCAATATAAATTAATAGTGTGATTTGTTACAAAAAATATTAGTTTTATGAAAAAATGTATAAGATTAAAAAATACACAAAATGTTATTTCAAACAAATTATATTCTTATACTTTTTTCGATACAGTTATTATTACTTAATTTAAGTTTTTTTTTTTATTTATTTAATTTAATTTATTAATTACTTAATTACAGTTATTATTACTTGTGTTATGCTTAAAAAACATATTAAACTATGTTGTTTTCTAAAAAAATAGGGATATACAACTTCAACACTTTTGTGGCACGGGTTAATATTGTCCAATTCTCCTGAAACTTTTTATACATCGTTTTTATAAGTATTCAAACCAATTTAGATTGTATAATTAACATATTTTCAAAGTTCAGTTTCAAGGACCACCCTATATGTATATATGTATATAATATATATTATATAATATAATATTCATGTGTACTTTATTTATTGAAGTAAACTGTTAAGTATTATAATAAAATCAATATAAAAGTATTTTATTTTTTTAAGGCAAATGTAAATATTTATTTTTAAGCAACCCCCCCCCCCAACAATTGAAAAATTCTTTGTATGCCAATGATTGTAATAGGATATTTATTTAGGCAAGTGACATAAACTATGAAAATTACGTAACTCATCAGAGAATGCATTAAATAAATATAAAAAAAAATGGAAGTGTTCGATATTTACCCGTTGTGTTCCATTTTTACCAAATAAATTGTAACATGTATTGTATATTACTAAAATTATACGATATTTAACGACGATGCGTGTAGTCGCCAGTTGATTTCGGGCCACGAACCGATGATTCGCGTAATTAGATAACACATGCCTAATTTTAAATACCTGTGGTAAAGTAAATTTTGCTGTACTTTTCAATTTCACAGTCAAGTACTCAAGTGCATATTTTCGATAATTCTACAGTACATTTTATTGTTCCTAATGCACAATTAGTGTCCTACTGAATCTTACAATAAAACCTAGTACTAACTATGTCGAATGATATACAACGATGCTATTTTCCAACAATAAATTTTAAACTTCAATCAATATTTATATGTAACCAGAAGATAAAAAATAAAAATTAACGTAAAATTAAAAAATAAGGATTTAAGAAATTCCTGTAATTTCTTTCCAAATTTTATAATTTTTAACAAAATTCTTACATAATATGAACTATTTCCCATATGAAGTTTTCTATTTTGATCGCATAAACTTGATGATTTGTATAGACGTTGATAGCTTTGTCATGCTTATTGATTTTTTTAAATTTTATAGTTGGGTGACCGTAATCACGACTTCCAGATGCATTATTATCTGTTGTATTCAACAAATATAAATTAGTGTTAATTATACAATGTAACAGTATAAGTATCATTTAAAAGATATCTTTTAGTAACATATTTATCCGATTATAAATCAATAATCCTCTACACCAATACCAGCATATTTATTGTATATCAAAGCCACTCTCCATTTTCTTGAAGGAATCTTTCGTTATTTCCATTGCTGCTATTAAATTTTAAGAAAACATCTATAATTATGTACGACTTACCTATTAAAAGTATTTAAATAAATGGAATAAATAAACAAAAACATAATACCTATTAAATATTAACCAAATAAATACCTATTAAAAAATTAAATAGCGAATTAACTCTTAAATTCTTCAATATAGTTTTGTACATTACCGCATTACATTACATTGTTGATTTTTAAAACTTTTAAAATATAATTAAAGGAAATATTTTCTTAATCCTGAATAATAGGTTTACTCTGAGTCAGAGTCTCTGAATATATTAACTATTATATAATATACTCATGAAAATTTTCACCTATTTAAGTATAAAAGACATGATCAACAAAACAGTTGAACATTTCACAATTAAAAAATATTGTATCAAAAACAAGGTAAAGGTAAGCAATTTAATTTATCGCCTGATAAAAGAAGCACAAACATGTTCAACTAAATTATACGCAATTTTGTCCACTAGACTTCAATAATTGAACTGATATATTTATATAATAAATATATTAAAATCTAAGTTAATAATTGCGTTTAGGTATTCTTCAGTTATATCGATAATATTGTACATTTGAACCAAAATATATTACCCAAACATAAGTATGAATAAGAACTATTCAATTGCATAATATATGTGTTAAGGTATATGAAACAAACCATGAAAATTACATAATTAACAGGAGATTGTCGGAAAAATATATATAAAAATAGAAATTTTCGATATTTATCTGTTGATTTTGATTTTACCTAATAAATTGGTAAATGATTTGTATGATACTAAAATTCGAAAACATTTAACAAACCATTTCGTTTATATCATGTTAGTTTTTTATAACATGTTTCATTTATATCACGTTTATATCTAATATGAATAGAATAAAAAAATGTGTTTCCGTTCTGGACATCATAATGAGAAATTATAAGAAAGTATGATTTTTTCTTGAAACTCGAAAAAAACTTACATAGTATACGAAAATTATATAAGTAAATTATTGACGATGAGGCCAAGTGTTATTTATTGTAGTTTTTGCATTAGAAATGTACAAGTGTAGTATTACCATATTTAATAAGTATATTCAAGTGTTTTTTTAAAACAGAAAGCTTAACAAATAAGCTTTTTTTTATTGTAAAAAATCAAGAACTAGTAGTTTACTATAAAACGTATAACTTAGTAAAATCTATCAAATATATCGAGTAGTATCCATTCATTCGTATTAGTATTTGTACATTATTATTCATTCGTAACGAACTAGTATATTATATAAAACAATAAAATGTATTTGCTTAAGCTTTTAGTTTTCCTAGGAATACAAATATTCGTCCGTGCACCAGAACCATCAGTAAGTACAAATATATCCCGTGAGAGAGATAGTGAAAATCAATCGATTCATTTTACCGAAAATAATAGTCTGGAAGAAAAACTGGTTACTGAGGTGAACAATTATTTCGATAGCACGGAAAAAATTGACTCATATAAATTTAACCATCAGTTAACGGATTATAAATGTGGTAGTTTAATTCAAAATACAGATGTTCAAAAATTAAATTACAATATATTTATCATTTTAAATCAATTATATAATGATTTATATAAAAAACTTCCTAAGAAGAACGATGTTATAGAAAACAGAAATCTTGAAAATAAAATTGTTAACGTATTTAAAGCAAACCATATACAAATAATATGTAAACATATTCCACGATGTCTTGATTTCATCTACATTTGTGCACCTACATATACAAATTTAGAAAATATATTTTCATTATATTCGGGCATTTGTCACTCCCGCGATATATATATTTCAAAATATGATGATCAAAATAAAATTCTCGATAAAAATGAAAATTTTACCAACCTTGTCCTTGAACGTATAAATTCGTTGTACAATAGTCTATCTAAAATTAAGTTTATTCCCTTAAACACCAATTACAATATCAAAATTAGAAACGAAACATTTATAAAAAACATATTCAATATAATTAATAAAATAAATAAAGCACATATGATATCAAGTAGTGATTGGTACAAAAAATCAATTTTAATTAATTATTCACCACCAGAAATGTTAAAAATTCGTTATTTCCGATCTGACCATTTGATTAACAATAAGAACAGGAATGAAGTTAACACACTCGCTCATTGGTTAAAAATAATCATTTTTGAACGTGGAAAAAAATTGTTACCCGCTAATAATAATTATGAAGTACCAGTATTAGGTCGAAATTTCATAATTGGTTACAACTTGGCATTAAATGAATTATTATTTAACTTTCTCCGGGTATTAAATTATTATTTTCGAAGCGTGGTTTTGTATGATATTGAACATTTTTCATATCAAGACAATCAAACTCTCATTATGATGAAGAATGTGTTTGAAAATTTGTTGTCAATGAAAGTGATTTATAGATTATGTAAAAAAATTCCTTTAATTCTGTATTATTTGTATAGTGCTCATATCACGGATCTAAACGTATTTAGTTTGTATTTAACAATATGCAGTGATTGGAATCAATTTTTAAATTATCGATGTTTATCTCAAAAAGCCAACAACGGTAGGTACGGATACGATACGCAATGTTTAAAACAGTCGATAAATGAAAAATTAATGTTAAATTATTATATGATTACACAAAAGATGATATATGATGATATCAATATGAATAATTTTTTAAATCTGAATAACCTGGAAGAAATTACTAATAATATCTATGAAAGATTGTTAGATTTTTACAAGCCTAATAAGGTTTATATATGGACGTCATTTGATTGGTTAAGCTCAGCACACATTTTTAGTTTAGGTTCCAACGATTTGAACGAAATAAGAGAACAGACAGTAAAAATCGGTTTGGAAAATATACCAATAACGATGCTGTATAATCAATTTTTACCATGGAATGCAAATTTAAAAACACTAATTGATTTTAAAACCATAGTTGAAAATTTATTTATTCATAAGTTATGCCAATACGTTAAGAGTCAAGCAGCATATATTTATATTTACTTTGAATTAACGAACGTAAATGATGTACATGACGGTGTACTCGCGCGGCTGAAAAAATCTACTAAATGGTATAAATCGGGAACACAGGAATTGTTCAAGTTCATGGAATCGACCATTGAGGGGTTTGAAATCCCCGATGAAAGTAAATCGGTTATCGAAGCAATTGAAAATATTAGCGTTCACACGATCGGTCAGTTTAAAGAATGTACGAATAGTATAAAAGAGGAATATGAAAAAAATTCAAGGTTTAATGATATTTTATCAAATAAGAATTCTGATCATGTAATTCAATTGAACTATGGTTATTTAAATAACTGTGTTGACGCAATAAAGTTTATAAATAAATATATTTTGTTTTTAAATAGTACCGATGGATTTCCTGATAAATTGGAAACTTATGATGTTCAAGAACTCTGCCAAAATGACAATTTAGATAACGTATTTATGGCAAATTAATCAATTTTCAAAGTTTCCCGCAAGTATACTCCATATAGTGAAATTGAAAAATCGTCAAAAGATATTTAATAAGTAATAAAACAAATAAACCGAAGATCCCTATTTTATTATATATTTACTATGAGATTTTTTATTTGTTAATAATTCTCAAAATGTATATATAGATAAATATTTAAATCTTTTCCTTCGCAAAAAAAAAAAAAAATGATGATAATATTGTTAGTTTCAGTAAAGCTATGTACAAGGCCGGCGAGGACTTCTGAGGGCCCCGGGAGTGTTCCGGGTCTCCTTCCCTTTGCAATTGTTTGACCAAGATGCACCAAGACCACTTGTACATGCTTTAGTACAACAAAAACATTGTATACAAGGCCGAAACGACGGGCCCTTTCGGACGTATGGGCTCCGGGGCTCTAGACCTCCCTATCTCACCCTCTCACCAGCTCTGGCTATGTAATAACTTAAAATATATGAGTTTATTTGTGGAAAATCGAATATTATATTTAAATTTGTTGTTGTAAACTATATTTAATAATCTATAAATACGAATTATTTATTCATACTTTAATTTGCTAATTTTTTTCTGTTATTTTACAAAAAAAATGAAGCAAAGAAATGAGCAATAATATACGAGTATTTTACTGATTATAACTAATTGTTTGTTAATTTATTTACATGTGTGTATTACAAATGTAAAAGAAAAACATTAAAATAATCTTTATCATACAAATACATGATTTTTATTTTCCTAATATCTAAAATTATTAAAACTATGAAGCTTTATTGCATATAAGCTATATCCACTATATTAGCAATAGATGCATACTTTAGTAGCTTTACGATCTTTCGAGTTGTTTCAAAAATACGCTTTCCAGAAAATCGTAACCGTTGTATATTCCCCACGTTAGGTAATGTTATGTTTCACTAATCTTTCAGTAAAAATATTTATTTTTTTCCGTTAAACAATCCAATGTTTGAAGATATTCGATTTGCACTTGCATTAATTTATGAGCCAATATTTACAAAAAATACAAGTCTCGTTTTTTCCTAATGTGGTATTTTCTTGGAAAAATATTTGTGTTTTATATTCGGATATATATATCATAATTTTTTCTAAAGATTGAACACCATATTTATCAGTGAGATTATCTTAATAATAATTCTAATTAATCTGACAATTCATAATGATAATAATTTTTATGTTAAAATCTTATTAATAAAAAAAAAATTATTTTATCACGCAATCAAACCAGTCACGCTCGATATCGAATGAATACGATTCAAATTATTCCTGTCTTCCAATAGTTAGAGATCTGTTCGTTACGCCTTATGTCACTTATCAGGGATTGCATTTCTTTCATTATATCTTTCCCCGCCATTTTGAAGAGTTCTGAGTTTAGGTCATCTTCTCCTGGGGCTTTGTGATCTTTTAGATTTTTGATGATATCTTCGATTTCTTCCTAGTCTGGTTCTCTACATTCTGGTTCAACCGTTTGAAAGATCAATTCTTCATACCTAATTCTGGTGCCTTTATTTGCAGTGTTGGGACTTATTTAGATAAATTATCTAGATAGATTTTTTGTCATATTTTATCTTATCTAGATAAATAACGCTAAGTTATCTAATTACTTATCTAAGATAAAATTTTTATTTATCTAGATAATTTTCTTTTTAAATAAAACATTAAATGAAGAACTAGAACAGAGTATAAAAAAAGAAAAATTATTTTGGTGTCAGATTTTAGAGAGAATTCTGAATTATTCTTACATTAACTATGCGAAGTTTACCTTTTCGCGGTCACAGAGAAAAACTTGGTATTTTACTCAAATTTTAATGGTGAAAAATTATTCTTTAACAGTCAGTTTCCTATAAGTATATACTGCTCTTTCATTATTTTTGATAATTACTATTACATCTGCAAGCACGGAACGATCATTTTCCAAACTAAAAATTAATAAAGGCCATTTAAGAAGTACAATGACGCAAGATCGCGTAATTGGTCTGGCATTAATTTCAATTAAATAGCTCGAGAAGTTGGCTTTGAAGATTTAATCGTAAAGTTTTCCGAAGCAAAAGAAAAAAAGAAGAAATTTTGAATATTTAAATTTTTTATTGCCTTTTTTATATTATTTAAACCGAAAAATGTTTAATACAATGTCACTATAAAAATAATATTACACTAAATATATTTTTAATTATTTGTAATCTAACCTTAAAGGACAGAATTTTGTAGTTAGTTATTTTTTGTAGGCTATTCCTCATATCTCCTTCTTCCAAATTTGTAAAACTAAGTGCTTGTTGGGTTATTTTGCCACGGGCATTAAACTCTTGGTTATGATACTAGTGTGTGTGTATGCGTGTGTAAATATAACAAGACAATACAGGATAACCAATAAATTTGCACATGTGCGTGGGCTATAAAAATAGGTATAATTTCCGGACACCCTTTGGAGATCGCAAGTTTTGACCGAAGACATTTTTGTATAAATCGATGGTACCATATGTAAGAAACGGGTTTTAAAACGTTGCACGAGAAAAGAATAAATCTTGTGTGTGGTCCATTTGTTGCTCGAATTCAATACAAATGGATTGTTACACATGTGGGTTTTCATGTTATGTACTTGTATAAGTAATAGTTTAAACCGTAACGATGATCATAAAAAATATTTATACGTTGAGCAACTGAATTTATTCAGTTATTTATTTATTCAATTATTGGGTTATCATAGGAAATTTATAGAATCATATAGTGCAAAAGCAAAACCATTAACAAACTTACTAAAAAAGGATATAAAATTTAATTGGACAGACGAATGTCAAAAATCATTTGATAGTTTAAAACAAACATTATGTTTAGAACCTATATTGCAATACCCAGATTTTACAAAATCATTTATTTTAACAACCGACGCAAGTAACAAAGCGTTAGGAGCAATTGTATCTCAAGGGGAAGTAGGAAAAGATTTACCTATAGCATATGCATCACGAATTTTAAATAAAAAAGAAAGTAATTATAGTACCACAGAACTAGAATGTTTAGCGATAATATTCGGGGTTAATCAATTTAGACCATATATATATGGAAGAAAATTTATAATTGTAAGTGACCATAGACCATTAACGTGGTTATTTAATTAAAAAGACCTTTATCAAAACTCGCTAGATGGACAATACAACTAGAAGAATATGACTATAAAATTAGATATAAACCAGGAGTATTAAATTTAAATGTAGATGCACTTAGTATAATGTATACTAGAGAGGAAATAAAAAATGAAAGTTATAAAACATTTTTAAATAAATTAAAAACACAGTTAATAACAAATAATAATGTAAAAGAAACAATAGGAAATTTATTAGATGCACCTGATACGCATCATATAGTAACTGAAATAGAAAAACAATATAATTTAGATTCGGGAATAAATTATGAATTAAAAAAAAAGTTCGGAAATAATCAAACCTTACCACAAAGTAAAATGATAAGAGATATAAAATATTTTAAATCAGACGAACGATGTATAATATTTTTAATAACTAAAAATAAAAAACGTCAATTATCAACGTACGAAAATATATACATATCATTAATAAACTTAAAACAATTTTGTGAGAAAAATAAAATAGATAAATTAGTAATGAATAAACTAGGTCAATCAGATAATCTTGATGGGGATAAAATTAGGTCAATGTTACGATATATTTTTAAAAATACAAATATAAAAATATTAATTTGTACTAATGATGAATATACCGAGGAGGAAAAACAAACGATATTACAGCAATATCATGATTCTAAACTGGGAGGACATTTAGGAATTAATAAAACAATTAAAAAAAATAAAAAAGCAGTTTAAATGGGTAGGTATGAAGGAAGATGTTAAAAATTATATTAAAAACTGTACTTCATGTCAGAAAAATAAAGTAACAAATAGAAAAGTTAAACAACCCATGGCAATAACTTCAACAAGTTCGAAACCTTTTGAAAAAATATTCATAGATATTGTAGGACCATTAACAACCACCTTATCGGGTAATAATTATATTTTAATAATGTAAGACGATTTAACTAAGTATTTACTAGGTATACCAATACCTGATCATCAAGCTAATACTGTAGCTGAGGCTTTCGTAGTACATTTTGTGTGTATTCATGGAATACCAGAAACAATATTAACTGGTCAAGGAACAGAGTTTCTTAGTAATACATTTAAAGAAGTTTGCAAGTTATTAAAAATTAACAAAATAAATACTAGTATTTTTCATCCACAATCTAATGGTAGTTTAGAGAGATCGTATAGAACTTTGGCAGAATATCTAAGACATTATGTAGATAAAAATAAAACAAATTGGGATCATTTATTGCCATACGCATTTTTCGTTTATAATTCAACAGAACATACTTCGCAAAATAAAATCTAAAGAAGGATATGATAAAAATGAAAATTCTGTAGATATACATGTGAAAAATTTAATATTACTAAAAAACAATGCTTCAAAAACAAAATTACATAATTTATGGATAGAACTGTATGAAGTAATAGAGATAGTAGGAGAAGAAAATATTATAATACAGAAAGGAAGAAGAGGTGTAAATGGAAATTGCAGCAACATTAAAAGAAATATTACATAGACTAAAAGGGAAATTAAACATACCAATGGGAACTCAACCTTCAGAATTATATGAATTCAAAAAACTTACGGAACTAGCAGTATACTACGAAAATGGGCAAATATTTTTTACTACAAGAATACCTTAAGTAACTGATATTGAATTAACATTATACAACGTAATACTTGTACCTGTAACGGAAATAAAAGAAAATAAAACAACGAAAGTAATAATTTCAACAGAAAATCCATACATAGCAATTACAAAAGATAGAAGAATTTTCAACATTTACAGAAGTATAATTAGGAACATATAAAGATAATTCAATTTTTAAAGAATGTAACCCATATCAACATATACAAGAAAATAATGGTCAACAATCCTGCGAAATAGAATTATTCAATAAACCAGAAATAGTTCCAAAATCATGTAAACCACTAGTAACAATAATAGATAGAAATATTTATCATAAATTAAGATACCAAA